CCTATGAACTACTTGAATGGTTAATTACCTTATGCTAATGAATGCAACTAGTTACCAGTGTGTGCCTAGGAAATAGAGATTTACTTCAAAGCAACAATGTATATTAACTCTTCTTCATCCAAGGAATGCCTGCTGTGTCATAGCCTGCTAGCGAACTATAAAAGAACTCTCAGATCTGCTTAAACTTCGTCAGCAGAAGTTCAAGCTACAAGACTGAGATCTCCAGATACCCTGGACTGTCCCTACAAATTCTTATGGAAGAATTTGAACAAACTCTATACATGGACTGGCTATTAAAGTGATTCTGGAAGGACTTTTTGCAAATCAGCAGCTCACCATTTCTGCTATGAAACTGACCTAAGAACTTTATTCATATCCATATGTATAATGATCTTTTAACCAAAGTAACTTTTTCTTTTCTTTTTAAATAAATCTTAAATTAGCTAATAAGAATTGGCTGTAAGCGTGTACTTGTGTAAAATCTGAAATATTCATTGACCTGGTGGTTAATGTGTCCAATCTCTTGGAATTGGTAGAACTTTATATATGGCGAATAAGATTTTAAGTAATCCTCACCATATTTGACAGACTTGGCTGTCTGGGTGGGAGCCAAAGACTGGATTGCTTAAGGGGAACTCTATTTTAGCTTCTTGATAACCAGTATGGTATTACAGAAACTGCTTGGTCTAATTTGGTGAACCTAATTAGAAGAATAAACCAACTGTTTTGGGGATCGTCTGCCCCATTCTTTGCAGTTGGCCCTGATTGAGCAATCTCAGTATGACCTCTCCAGCAACCACAGTGACAGCTACTTGAGTGTTATACTGACACCAAAACTATTTAGGCACTAGTAACAATATTTTACACTGCACTAGACTAAATGCTAAGCCAGGACAAGACCATATATTAGTATGAGAAGAGAATAGTTACTGTAGGAAGCTCACTGCCGCTTTCCATGGGATTGGCCTGTAAGACAAAGAAAAGTTTATTATTTTATTATTTGTTTTGCTACCCTGTAATACCCGATTTCTTTCTTTCTTTTCCTTTTTGATTGTTTACTTGCTAGCTTGGTTCAGAAGAAGGTGCAAATAGAATTTACAATATCTAAGATTCCAATATTATGCAATAAGTTTCCTCCTATCACATACAGATATCCTTGGTTGTAATTAATGACTGGCAAACTTGGCGAGTCTGTTCCAATAACTCGCCTGAGTTTGGTTTCTAGTCAAAGTTTGGGCTTCTTGCATTTCAGGTTAAAAAAGAAAGGAAACTTAAATCTTCTTCCTTTCTTCCTTCCTTAGCTAAGCAATTGCATGATGCTGGTGCTGAATTAAAGTCTCCCTCCCCCTTGTCCTGTTTAACTGTGACATCACAAAGAAAGAGGAGGCTGAGGCTGGTTCCTTGGGTTCCATATGTGGCTACTCTTGTTTGCCTTTTGTTCTTTCTTCTGTAAGCATGGTCTGAGTGAGTTCTCCCCTGACATCTAGTGATGCACAGAGGAAAAGACTTCAGGAGCAAATTATGTTTTCATAGACACATGTACTCTGCCTAGGTGCACAGCAGAGGGAGCTGCTTTGCCAAACTGATCAATTCTGTCTGGTTTGACAGACCCAAGGGAACTTTAGAGGAAAACGGCATTAGAGCCGTACAGACGCTCGGCGTGTTTCGGGTGGATCCCCACCAAGCTGGTTTCAAGGGGAACTTGCCACTACCAGGGCCCTGGGTCAGGACCAAGTGGAGAGGGCGGGTCCGGGTCCCTCTACCACCCCACCCCCCACACCATGGGAATCATACATACTCTGGCTGCTAGGCCACGCTACCCTGTCTGATGGGGGTGATTATATAGATGCTGGCCATTGGGCCGCACTGCTCCAACGCTGGGAATGATTTATATGGACCCTGGCCATTTGGCCACACTGCCCTGACACTTGGGGTGAGTTACGTGGATTCAGGCCACTAGGCTGTACTACCCCACCTGTGAGGAAAGAGTTATATGGACTCTGGCCATTGGGCCACACTGCTCCAATGCGGGGAGCGATTTATATGGACTCTGGCCGTTAGGGAACACTACCCTGCCCAACAGGTGATTGTGTGGAGAGAGGCCATTAGGCCGCATCGGGCCACCCACAGAAAGGCGAGCACGTGAACTTGGGAGTGGCAAGGTTCCGACACCCCATCCCACCTCTGCCACAAAGGGGTGGTGCGGCACTAGGCCCACCACAGGCATTCATCATCAATATCGTCTACAGTACCACCTGGGAAGACCACTTACAGCATTTATAGGAAGTGTTAAAAGCATTATAGGAGGTATGACTTAGAGCCAACCTGGCGAAATGTAAGGTGGCTATGAGTGAAGTGACCTATCTGGGATAATGCGTAGAAGGTGGCCTGGCAAAACTAGTGGTTGATAAGGTGTAGGCATGTCCTGTCCCCCAGACAAAGAGGCAAGTCAGACATTTTCTTGCCCTGGCAGGATATTACTAGTGGTATATCCCCGGCTTAGCCTCAATTGCAGCCCCACTTATAGACTTCATAAAAGGCAACAACCCTAAGAAAATCCATTGGGATGGGAAGTGCAAGAAAGTGTTCAGAGAACTGAAAACATGATTATGTCAGGGAACCATGCTCTTCAGCCCTGCTTTTTTTCTGGGGAATTCATATTACACCCTGATGCCTAGGACATCAGTCTCAGCGCCATCCTTTCACAAGACTTTGAAGGGGGAGAACACCAGGACCTTTACCTAAGTAGGAAGCTGTTCACAAGGGAAAAGTAGTACTCCATCATTGGAAAGGATGCATTCACTATCCAATGGGCAGTAGAAGCCCTCAGGTATTACCCATTGCACAGCCCCTTTTCCCTGATCACTGATCATGCGCCCCTATGCTGGGTCCAGTCCATTAGGGATACGAACCCTCATTCAATCTTATAGTTTCTGATACTGGGTGGGAACGGACCATGCTCACGCAGATTTCTTTTCACAGATCAGGGTTGGAGACAACTCAACCCCAAATGTTTTTCCCATCTTGAGGGGTAGGGTATGTGAAGGGACATGTCCTCACCCTGGTATGGAAGAGGCTAATTATCTCCTCTGTGCCTGTTTCATGCTAACAAGACACACCTGCAAGGCTTGCTCAGCCTGGAGTGGGAGGAGCTTAAAGGAGGGAAACCTACCACAGGAAGGGACAGTAAAAAGGAAGAAGGTTGCTCCAGCCAGAGATTGTTGGCAACAGAGGGAGTCCAGCCGAGGAGGAGACTCAGACAGCCGCAAGATGCACAGCTCCCGAAGCCGCCCTGACTGATGGTAAAGCAATATGCCCCAGGAAGAAGGGTAGAAGGTAAACCCTTCGATGAGGCAATAGATTCTGAGAGACTGAGCCCTTAGAGCTGACTCTCTAGGGGCCGCCTGAGAGGCTGATCCTTGTTCCAGCCAGAGCTTCCCCTCTTGTAAAGGGAAGGGAAGAACAGGAGCCAAACTTCAGCTTGTGGGCAGTAGGCATAAGAACATGAGGCTGCAGAGAGATTCCCCAAAGGCTGCCAAACGGGGAGAAGAAGGGGTAAATGATGGGACAGTGGGACTCAGGGGGAGTCCAGGGAGCTTGTTCCCCCCACAACCTATAAATGTAATTCAGATTTAACTGCTAATATTGAGGGAACAAGGTACTGGCTTTCTAACCTGGTAGAGAGAGCAAGGGAGAAAAAGGCTCTAACATTGGTGGAAGGAAAAGCCAGTGGGGGAGTCCAAGAGTGCTGGAATCTTTGTAGAAGTAAAGGGGCCAAGACCAAAGTGCCCCCTTTCTCTTCACGACTGGCTGCTCTGGTGGTGAGCCAGCTGCCCTCTCTTCTGGTGCCACAGCAACTCCTGGGGGGCAAAAGGTGTAATTGCAGCACCTCCCCCGCAGAATCTATTATTCTGCGGTGAAAAAGAAATTCTGTGCTTATGATTCTTTTTTAAAAAGTGTGTGTGTTGGGGGGGAATGGCCCTCCCATTTCTGGCGCAGGTGGAATCCACTGACCTACTGGTGTGGAAGATCATAAAAAAGACTTCAGAGGTGCTGATGTGAGTCCATGCTGGCATAGAGGAAGCTCTCTGATTTTAGGGACACTGGGATACAATGGTCCACCATTGCAGTCTTAGAAGTCAGGATTATGAAGATTAGGTTGTAGTTTTTGCTTTTTCCTATAGGTGGATGAGGAGAACTTGATTTAATGATGCTGTTTCAGCACTGACTTCAAGGAAGGGTCTTTGAAAGATGTTCTGGGTGGGTGGGGGGAATGAAGGAAGGAGAAGCAGAGTGGGAGTGTTGGCCTAACAGGGTCCAGGCAGACCAGCTAACTCTTAGGAAAGTGAGGGAGGCTGCCAGAGGCCATTGCATTGTGGAAAAAGGAAGGCTGCCAGAGATTGGCAAGATGTTGTCTGAGAGAAAGAATGCAGTCTTCAAGGAGAGCCCAAGAAATGGAGATGGGTCCAAGCTGCAAAGTTCAGAGACAGATCCAAACCTCCCTAAAGTTGGAGGATGACTGGATCTAAGGTTTTAATCTGGGTCTCTCTTTACAAGGAAACAGTTAAAATCAGACAGTACTTAGAAACAGTCATGCTGAAGCATAGCATAACACAAGCTCTCTCATTTAGGATTCTAGGCTGCCATCATGTGGTCATTTTATTTCATTATTTCAAAGATAAAGTAACTGAAATCTGCTCATCTTTGTGCTGGAGGACAGCAACTGGCCCTCTCTACTGTGCACTGTACTAGGACTGGTAGGCTGAAGATCTAAATTTCACTTTCAACACAATTAAATTTCTCCCTTAATTTTATATAATTATCCTTTGGTGTGATACTCTGCCCTTCTAGTTCACATTTTCCTGTTATGCTCTGGCACTGAGTTCCTTTTATATAACATCCAGTCCTTAAACCAATGGGAGTTTTGCCTCAGTAAGTACTGAGGGCTGGTCTACACTGAAAAATTAGATTGATCTTCTATATCGCTCAGTGTGTGGGAAAAAGTACACACCCAAGTTCTGTAGTTAATTTGGCCTAATCTCTGGTGTAGACCCGGCTAGGCTGATGGAAGAATTCTTCTGTCAAGCTAGCTACCACCTCTCACAGGGGTGACAACTACAGTGATGGAAAATCCCCATCAGTTGCTGTAGGAAATGTCTTCACTACTGCAGCTCCATAGCTGTGCTGCTGTAGTGTCTGTAATGTAGAGAAGCCCCAAGCCCTTTATATTTAAATTACCTTCAGGCATCTTTGATTTCCCTCTTTCAATCTAAGTTCCCTAAGTGAACTGTTTAGTGTTTACCCACTTGCTTTACTGTTTAATAGAGATGCAAACCCCATCGATCAACTTCAATCCTGAGCTATTCCCATCAGAATCAATGAGAGCTATACCCTCTTTTCCCAGGGCTGAATTTGGGCTTATGAATGTCACATCACTGCCTTGATTTCACCTCTCTCCAAGTCCCAGCTAGTTGTAGTAACCCAGTGCACAGTTAGCATCACACCAGTGGAATACAGAAGGCATTAAAATGTTGGTTAATTAGCGCAAATCCCTGTTTCCTGGAACAAACTCTTACGATCAATTGATCTCAAGTGGAATAAAAGTATAGTCCATACAAAAAGCTACTTTAAAAGAATGTTAAATGTGCAGAGTGAAGCACTGAAAATGTCAAAGATTGTCTATACCACGGCCTTTATAACAGAAATGCATAAACACATAGGAACATCCCTGACACAAAGGACACCCCCTGCCAAATGCCATATATGAAATTACACACAAAACACCTGTGTTAAAAGAACTTTATGTTTACAAAGTCAAACACTCAAAATTTAGGTAACACAAGAATTGAAGTGCCTGTGCAAACTTAATTTGGCCCCTTTGTAGTATGCATTATGCAGTATGCACCTGTTTTCCTCTCTGACTGTGAGACTGAGTCTCCTTGCCTAGCAAGTCCCAGTCTCCTCCTGCAGGCTCCTTGTCCCAATCTACTTCCCCAGGCCTCCTCTACAATGCCTTAGGTTGGGCTCTTGTGGCCTCTGCATTTGAATCAGATGGCCTCTTCCTCCTCCACACTGGCAGGGGTGCACTGGGAGCACAGGAAAGGCAGATGCCCAGCTCTCAGTTCCAATGTCCAGTCCCACCCTGCCTGGAGCAGTCGGGAGCAGCCATAACCTCATAGCCCTGCGCTTGAACATGCTCAGCAGCTCTGTGGGGATGGCACATGCACAGCCTAGTCACAACTAGGAGCTGTGAGAGGCTCAGATATGCTCAGTGATTCCAGAATTTAGCAAGTCTCTACTGTGCAAGTACAAACTGTGATTTTTTTCAGAGGCTTCTCCCTGGTCAAATCTGGGCAGATTTTCACAGGGATGGTAAAAGGCACATCCTGACACAAAGGACACCCCCTGCCAAATGTCAAGTCCCTGGTCCAAATAATGGTGGCCTCGAGTTTCCAAAGAAAAGATTGCTAGAATTCTTTTAATATTGAAAAACTGTATTTTTCTCTAGTCTTGTTCTGAACTATTTTGGCTAATACCTGCTATGGAAAATTTCAGCCCAAATAGTTAAAGTTTGGCAAAGTTATAAGTAACCAAAAACAAGGTCTTAGACTGGGAAGTGTCGGGCAACCTTAATAATAGGTAGTGCTATCAGCCTTCCCTATAATATTGTACGGGTTGTCATTGCACAAAGACATATTTGGAGGTGGGGATGAGTTAAATTAGTGAATCAATCA